CATCTATTGTGTCACTATATACTTGTATATACTCTTACATATCATCCACTGAAGGAGCTCTGGTAGTTTATATATACTCTTACATATCATCCACTGAAGGAGCTCTGGTAGTTTAGTGGTTACCAATCGGGCTGCTAATCTCACGGTCAGCATTTCGAAGCTACCAGCTGTTCCATGGGAGAAAGATGAGGCTTTCTGCACCCGTAAGGATTTACAGCTTCGTTGTAAATTGTTGTGGTGCTCATTGTTGTGGTGGTGATTAAGTGTCGTTAAGTTAATCCCGACCCAAAGCAACCCTGTATAGAGTTTCCAAGGAGCAACTGGTGAGCTTGAACCACCAACCTTGCAGTTCAAACGGCTTTGCAGTCTGGCTCATTAACCCACAGCGCCACACCAGGACCCATGTATAGAAGTTTTTTATTGAACTTTTTATTAGAGAGGTTTAGGGTGGAAAGGAAAATATATAATCAGGATATGTGTGAATGATCTTTTCATTACCTGTAAGATCCAAGTGACTGTGAGCAGAAGGAATTCTAGTTGAGTACCTTGTCCTACAAGCCTAAGAAATTATTTGAGCTCATTTTTTTTTTTTTAACAATATCGACTTTGTAGGATAAGGACAAGGTCAGTGGTTCAAGCCCACAAGGCATTCTGAGGAAGAAAGATGAGACTTTCAGCTCCTGCAAAGATTCACAGCCTCAGAAACACAATTCAGGGTACTACAATTTGAAACTGATTCCATGGCACTTAACAACAACAAAGTTATTTGTTAAATAGATCATAGTAAAATTCTGAAAACTCATTGTTGCTCAGTGCCAATGAGTTGGTTCAGACCCATAGCAACCCCCTGTACAACAGAACAAAACTGCCCAGTCCTCTGCCACCCTCACAATAGCTACTACACTTGAGTCTGTTGCTGCTACCACTGTGCCAACCCATCTCATTGGGGGTCTTACTGGGTTTTGATGACCCTGCATTTGACCAAGCATGATGTTCTTCTCCAGGGACTGAACCTCTCTGATAATATGCCCGAAGTATGAGAGATGAAGTTTGGCCATCCTGACCTCCAAGGAGCACTCTGGCTGCACTTCTTCCAACACAGATCTGTTGGTTCTTTTGGCAGACTGTGGTACTTTCAATATTCTCCTCCAACACCATAACTCAAAAGCATCAATTCTTCTATGGTCTTCCTTTTTCATTGGCCAACATTCACATGCATATGAAGCTATTGAAAATACTCATTAGTAGGAAAACTATCCAAATGGAAAACATTTACTGTAATTTGTCAAATGCAACCATAAGGAAAACTCCTTTTCAGTTTTCTTAACTCTCTACAATTTTTTTAGAAAAATGATAAGTTTTCTATTACAAATCAATGACATGTTTTTCTATTATCTAATTCATAAAACATTTTCTATTACCTAATATGCATCTTTCCTGTGGAACTAAGGCCTTTCCCACCTCCTTTCTTTCATCAGAACCACACCTTTCAGTAGCCAAAGACAAAGACCAACTCAAGTCCTTTGTCTCACACCTTGTCTGCCATTAGAGTGTTTGGGCACCAAGCTCCCTCAGTTCTTTCTGTTTCATAAACGTGTGCCCGGGTCTCTATCTCTCCCCTCTCTACCCACTACCATCACCTTAGTTCTGCATGAGTCCATTTGCTCCCTCCCGTTCCAGTTTGTCTGTCCTCCACACCACTGTCATCTCCCTGAGTCCCACAGTGACTGCCTCTGCTCAGAGACCTTCATTGGCTCCCTACTGCTGCTCCTGGAGTCAATTTCATATAGTCACAGAAGACATCCATCCAATGCCCCCGACCTCAATTCCTGGCTCTTCTGCGACACTTTGTCTTCATGAGCACTCTCTTCCTCCTCTCAAAAACAAAATGCAGTCCCTGTACCACTTTCATAATACACCACCACACATACTACTTCCCTTATAGTTACACCTGTGTGTGTCACTCCTAAGGTACTGTAGGCTGTTGTCTATATTTCTCCAGTGTTCATTTCCTACTGCTCCAGTCTAATGCACTTATTAGAGACCTCCTGTGACTCACATGCACAGATGTATGTTCACAAACATACACTCAGACACACACATTTACAAACAACTAGTCACAGACACGCATAAGCACACACAGAAACTCACGCGCATATAGACACACACTTTCATTGAATGTACGAGGACTTGAGTCCTAGGCTGGGTACTAGAGACACAACACAGCAGGTCTGGACCCTCCAGGACCTTGCAGTGCAGTGAGGGGGGCGCAGACCAGTCAACAAGTCCTGACATCCCAGGATGCTAAATACCACAGTGGAGGAGGGCAGGGTGATCTAGGAACTGCACATCTGAACACCAGGGAAGCTTCTCACTAGAAATGCCCCAATTGGGACCCAGAGGCTGGGGTGGTGTTAGCCAAGTGAAGGTGGGTTGGGAGGGGAGCCAGTGTAAGGCTGGGATGTCACCTGTGGTTGGCTCTTACAGGGAAGGAATGGAGTTGGCTAGGGGCTTGGAGCTTCCAACAGACTCCAAGAAGAGAGCTAAGGAGCCCTGGCGGCACCATGGTGAAGCACTCAGCTGCTAACCACAAAGGTAGGTGGTTCAAGCCCACCAGCTGCTCCTCAGAAGAAAGATGTGATGGTCTGCTTCTCTAAGAGTTACAGTCTTGTAACTAAGGAGTAGCTCTACCCTGTCCTATAGGGTCACTGTGACTTGATGTACACATACATCATCATCATATATATATATATACATTGTTGTTAAGTGCCATCGAGTCAATTCAGACTCATAGGAACCCTGTATAGAGTTTCCAAGGAGCAGCTTGGTGGGTTTGAACTACTGACCACGCTGTTTAGCAATCTAGTGTTTACTCTTTAGCAGCACACCAGGACTCCTATGTAAATATGTTGTTGTTGTTGTTGTTAAGTGCCGTCGAGTCGGTTCCTACCCATAGCGACCCTGTACATGGTTTCCGAGGGTGTAAATCCTTACGGGAGTAGAAAGCCTCATCTTTCTCCCGTGGAGCGGCTGGTAGTTTCGAACTGCTGACCTTACGGTTCACAGCCCGATTCGTAACCACTACGCTACCAGAGCTCCTTATGTAAATATAGTTGTTGTTAAGTGAGTGCCGTGGAGTTGGTCCTGACTCACAGTGACCCTGTGTAGGTTTCCCAGGAGATAGTCGTGTCAGCGGGACCCTTCTGAGTGAATGAGTCATGGGGCTGAGTTTTTTCTGGTTTTCTTCTTTTTCCATGTCTGTAGTAGTTTAAATTACTCTAAACGAACTGAAGGCAAATAACAAAACCATATATTTTTGCTCCATGTATCATTTTTCAAGGAGCCGTGGTGCATAGTGAGTTAAACATTGCGCTACTAACTGAAAGTTTGGTGGTTTGAACCCACCAGCCGCTCCTTGGGCGGAAGATGACACAGTCTGCTTCTGTAAAGCCCACAGCCTTGGAAATGCTCTGGGGTATTCTGACTCTATCGTATAATGTTACAAAGAGTCAAGATCCACTTCATGGCAGTGGGTTTGGGGTTTTAGTAGGTTAAGCGCTGTAGGATAAGCACTTAACCAAAAGGTTGGTTTGAACCATAAGGTGGCGGTTCAATTTCACCAGCTGCTCCTCAGAAGCCCTATACAGGGTTGTTATGAGTTGCAAATGACTCAACGGAACTTAGCAACAGCAACCATTGTTCATTTAAAACCAAAACACACGAGGATAGCATTTCTGAAGGGGATTTTATTCTTGATAAATCCCAAGGTTATCTTATTCTATTTATAAGAGAAGTGAAAGGGGTTATATTTATTTTCTGAGATGTGTGTTCAATGGCAGTAATCCATTAAAGCATAGGATTTCACAGAGCTACCAAAAACAAAAAAAAAGCTTTTGTTCATATTTCAAAGATGCTAGAGTTCACCTCCCAATAAATATATTTAGATCTGAATTTCAGAGGTCTAGAATTTTTCATAAAGGGTCTATATACTTGAAATCTCTCTCTCTCTCTCTTTGTTAAGGACCTGCCAAATCCAGTGTCTTTTTTTTGTTCCAGATTATAGCCAGGGTTTTAGTTGAACATCACTCTTGTCAATGTTGTGTGCCTGCAAGTGGATTCTGACTTGTAGCAAGTCCATGTGACAGAGCACAGCTGCCCCGAGGGGTTTTCTGTCCTGTGGTCTCTATGGGAACAGGTCTGCAGGCCTTTTTCCTGCAGAACTGCTGGGTGAGTTCTAACCACCAAGCTTTCCACTTGTGCCATCAGGAATCTTTGGAAGTGCCAGCTTAACAGTAAGCGTATTTACTGCCTGTTGTTAAATGCTGTTGAGTCAATTCCAACCCATAGTGACCCTGTATAGGGTTTCCAAGGAGCAGCTGGTGAGCTTGAACCGCCAACCTTGCAGTTCAAATGGCTTTGCAGTCTGACGCATTAACCCACAGCACCACACCAGGACTCTACATTTACTGCCTTGGTACCACCACATTCTTACTGCTGACTTATGCATCTGAGATGGTAAGATGTGTGCCTTTTCTCACAGGTGTGAACTTGCCGGCTTTCCTCATCATTCTGTCTGCCTACATCACTGTGTTCTGTTCCATCCAAAAGACCGCCCTGCAGACTGCCCGCGGGAGGAGACACATTGCAAGAGAAGTGGCTGTGGCCAACCGTTTCTTTTTTATAGTGTTCTCTGATGCCATCTGCTGGATTCCTGTATTTGTCATGAAAATCCTTTCCCTGTTCCGGGTAGGAATACCAGGTCAGTCTCTCCTCTATTGTTTACAAGAACCTTGAGACCTGTCTCACCCTTTGCTGGATGAGGTCAGAAACAAGATTAGCAGTGGCTTCAGTGCTGTTTCCTGTTGTGCTTTATCACTGGTATCCTGAGATAGAAAGAGTCCTGGGGGCACAGGAAGTTAGCAGTCTGGCTCCACCAGCGGCGCACAGGAGAAAGATGAGACAGCCTCCTTCCATAAACAGGTACAGTCTTAGAAACTCCAGGGAGCACTTCCATCCTGTCCTACTGGGCAGTGATGGCTTGGAATCAACTCTACAACAACAGAATTTTGAGTTTATTTTCATATTGGGAACTGGGTACTGATGACATAGCATAAAAATAATATTAATAAAACAGATAAAATAATGCCAAATAATTTCAAGGAAAAAACAGGAGCTAAGGTGATACTCTGGTAGTGTAGTGGTTACAAGTCAGGCTGCCAACCTCAAGGTCAGCAGTTCAAAACTACCAGCAGTTCCATGGGAGAAAGATGAGGCGTTCTGCTCCCATAAAGATTTACAGCCTCGGAAACCCTGTGCAGGGTCGCTATGAGTCGGAACCGACTCCACGGCACATAACCACAACAACAAGGTGACACTAGAGTCCCTGTGTGGTCATTGTTTTCATTAGGTGTCTACAGTTGGTTCCTACTCATAGTAACCCATAGCACACAACAGAAGGAAACACTGCCTGGTTGTACGCCAGCCTCACAATCATTACTGTGCTTGAGCCACTGAGACATCCATCTCATTGAGGGCTTCCTTTAGTTCACTTACTCTCTACTTAACCAAGCATGATATCCTTCTCCAGGGACTGGTCCCTCCTGATGACGTGAGACAAAGTCCCACATCTAAGGAGCATTCTGGCTGTATTCGTTCAGGACAGCTTTGTTCATTCTTTTGGCAGCCCATAGCATTTTTAATATTCTTTGCCAGTACCGTAATTCAAAGGCATCAATCTTCCTTCAGCCTTTCTTATTCATTGTCCAGCCTTTGCATGCATATTTTGTTGTTGTCGTTAAGTGCTGTCAAATCGGTTCTGACCTGTACCGACCCTGTATAGGGTTTCAGAGGAGTGACTAGTGAGCATGAACCGCTGACCTTGTGCTTCCACATGACTTTGCCATCCAGCGCATCAACCCACAGTGCCACACCAGGACTCCGATTGACAATACTGTGGTTTGAGACTGACCTGCCTTAGTCTTCAGAGTGACATCTTTGCTTTCTAACACTTAACAGAGGTCTTTTGCAGAAGAGTTTCCCGATGTAATATGTCATTTCATGTCTTTCCTGCTGCTTTCATGGGCATTGATTGTTGTTACGCCTTTCAATATTCTTCTTCAACAGCAAAATACACATGTGTCAACTCTTCTATGGCCTCCCTTATTCATTGTTCAACTTTCACACCATGGTTTGGGTCATGCACACCATAGTCCTCAAACTTATATCTTTGCTCTTGAACACATTAAAGAGATCTTGTTCAGCTGTTGTTAAATTTCGTCAAGTCAATGTCGACTTAGAATGACCCTATAAACAACAGAATGGAAGACTGTCCAGTCCTGCCATAGCCTCACAATTGTTGTTACATTTGACCCTACTGCAGCTGCCCCTGGACCTCTACACTGGGGCTCTTCCTCGTCGTTGACTCTCCACTTTGCCATGCATGATGTCCGTCTCCAAGGACTGGTCCTGATCACATGTCCAAAGTATGAGATACAAAGTCTCACCATCCTGGCTTCGAATAAGCATTCTAGCTGTGCTTCTTTCAACACAGATTTACTTGCTTTTCTGGAAGTCTACGGTACTTTTAGAATTCTTCTCCAACACCATATGCATCAATTCTTCTACAGTCTTCTTTATTCACTGTCCAACATTCACATGCATATGAGGCTATTGAAAATACCATGGCTTGGGTCAGGTGCACCTTAGTCCTCAAACTGACATCTTTGCTCTTGAACACTCTAAAGTGATCTTGTGCGGCAGATTTACCTAATGCAATAAATCCTTTGATTTCTTGACTGCTGCTTCCATGAGATTTGATGGCTGATCGGAGCAAAATGCAGTCTTTGACAACTTCAATCTTTTGTCCTTTTATCATGACATAAATTACTAATCTAGTGGTGAGTATTTCTGGGGGGTTTTTTGTTTTTTGTTTTTTGTTTTTTTTTCTTACACTGACATACAACCCATACAGAAGGTTGTGGACTTTGATCTTCAGCAGTATTTTAAATCCTGTTCACTTTCAGAAAGCAAGTTTGTATCATCTGCATCTCTCAGGTTGTTAATGAGTCTTCCTCCAATCTGGATGCCATGTTCTTCTTCACATAATCCAGCTTCTTGGATTATTTGCTCAGCATACAAATTGGATAAGTAAGGTGAAAAAATACAGCCCTGGCACACCTTTACTGATTTTAAACCATTCAGTTTTAAACCATTTGCTCTGTTTGAATGATTGCCTTTGGGTCTACATATAGATTTCTTGTTACCACAACTAAGTGTTCTGGAATACTCATTCTTCAAAATTTTATTCATAGCTTGTTGTGATCCACACAGTCAAAAGCTTTTACATAGTTAATAAAGCATAGGTAACAATCTTTCTGGAGTCCTGGTGTGGCGCTGTGGGTTAATGTGCCAGACTGCAAAGCCATTTGAACTGCAAGGTCGGCGACTCAAGCTCACCAGCTGCTCCTTGGAAGGCCTATACAGGGTCGCAATGGGTCAGAATTGACTTGACGGCACTTAACAACAACTATGATCTTTCTGGTATTTTCTCCTTTCAGCCAAGAATATATGATATCAACACTGATATTTCTCATTTCACATCCTCATGGAATCTGGCTTGAACCTTTGGCAATTCTCTGTCAATGTACTGTTGCAGTTGTTTTGGGATTATATTTAGCAAAAGTTTACTTACATGTGATATTAATACTGTCCAATGATTTCTGCATTCAGTTGGGTCTCCGCTCTTTGGAAGGAGCACAAACATGGATCAAATCAGTTTGCCAGGCAGCTGTCTTCCAAATTTCCTGGTATAGATGAGTGTCTCCAGTACAGCATCAGTTTGTTGAAAGATTTCAATTTGTTCTTTGCCAGTTCCCAGAGCCTTTTTCTTTGCCAATGCCTTCAGTGCACATTAGACATTTTCCTTCAGGTTCTTGAGCATATGCTACTGCTTGAGATGGCTGAACATAGGCCACTTCTTTTTGGCACAGTAACTGTATATATTCCTTCCATCTTCTTTTGACACTTTCTGTATCATTCAAATTTTTGCCGTTAGAGCCCTTCAATATTGACAGTTGATGCTAGAATATTTCCTTCAGCTCTTTCATCTTGAGAAGTGCTGAAGGTGTTCTTCCCTTTTGATTTTTTTATCTCCACATCTTTGCATATTTCATTACTATATTTGACTTTGTCTTCTTGAGCTGCCCTTTGAAAATTTCTGTTCAGCTCTTAAGCCTTGTCATGTTTTCCATTTGCTTTAGCATCTCTATTTTAGACAGCAAGTTTCAGAGTACTTTCTGACATCCATTTTGGTCTTTTCCTTCATTCTTGTCTTCTTAATGGCCTTATGCTTTCTTCCTGTATGATGTGCTTGATTACATCCCATAACTCTTCTGGGTTTTGGTCATTAGCATCTAATGCATCAAATTTGTTCTAGAGATGATCTCTAAATTCAGTTGGGATATGTTCATGGCTTTCATGGACTTGTTTTAATTTTCTTCAGCTTTAGCTTGAATTTATATATGAACAATTGATAGTCTACCCCACATTCTGCTCCTGGCTTGTTTTGGCTTTCCCACCGGCTCTTCTCACAGATATAGTCAATTTGATTTCTGTACGTGTCATCCTGTAAGGTCCGTGTGTATACTCATCTTTTATGTTGCTTAAAAAAGGCTTTTGCAATGAATAAGTCATTGGTCTTACAAAATTCTATCATGTGATCTCCAGCATCATTTCTGTCACCAGGACCACGTTTTCCAATTATTGATCCTTTGATTTCCAATTACCAGTAATTATCAATACATCTTAATGCATGTTTGATCAATTTCATACTGAAGAAGTTGGTAGAATTCTTCAATTTCATGATAACTCCCTTTAGTGACTGGTTGTAAATTTGAATAAGAGTTGTATTCACTGGTCTTCCTTACAGGCATATGACTGTTATCCTAGCACAGACAGCATCGTACTTCAAGATGGATCTTGAAATGTTTTTGTGAAGATGATTGCAACACCATTCCTCTTCAATCTGTTGTTGCTGCCTTAGTCAACCATGTGACTGTGGGATTCAAAATGGTCAATACCAGTCCATTTAACTCATTAATGTCTATTTTTATGTATTCCATTTCATTTTCGACAACCTTCAAATTTCTTAGATTCGTACATTCCGTGTTCGGATTACTAAGGGATGTTTGCAGCTGCTTCTTCCTGTTTTGAGTTGTGCTTCATCAGCAAATGAAGGCCCTGAGAGCTTTGCCCCACCCACATCATGAAGGTCAACTCTACTCTGAGAAGGCAGCTCTTCCCCAGGTGTATTCTGAGTGCCTTCCAATCTGAGGGACACTCTGACAAGGGAACTAGAAGAGGAAAATGTGTCTTGTTAAAACGTTCTTGGGCCAGTGTCCTTCTGCACATGTAGTTTAGAGCTTTGAGGTTTGCCTTAAACCCCCTCAGGAACCAAAAAAGAAGTCTTGATCTCCTTGGGAGAAGCCCCTTCTCCTCCTTTTTCTTTTTTAAGTTTTATTTAGCTTTTTGTTGAGAATTGTTGTTGTTGTTGTTAAGTACCATCAACTTAGTTCCGACTCATAGAGACCCTGTACAGGGTTACTAAGGAGCAACTAGTGAGTTTGAACTGCCGAGCTTGTGGTTCAAACCCACCTTTATCCCACAGCGCTGCACCAGGGCTCCTTTGTTGAGAATATACACAGCAAAACACACACAAGTTCAATAGTTTCTACGTGTACAATTCAGTAACACTGAGTCCACCCTTCATGTTGTGCAGCCATTCTCAAACTCTGTGTCTGAACTCCTTCCCTGTGAACTTGAACTCAATGCTCCCTAAGCTTCCTATCGAATCTTTCGAGTTGCTTTTGTCAGTTTGATCACTGGACAGATGTTTAAAAGCACAGTGCTCAAGGCAGTCATTCTTTATTAGTAGAGCTAAACTGGTACTTGGTTTTAAGAAGACTTCAGGGGATACTTTTGGTTTAAGATCTAAAGATGATCTTTATGAGAGTGGGTGAATCACTGAGCCTTCCTAAGCCTCCTCTTTGAGAGTTTACACATGAGACGTAGGAGGGCTGGGAGCCAATCAACTCTGCTGACATCCCTTTACAGCACTTACATCTGCATTCACCTGAGGGTCTTGGAAATTGTGATGGATTAATATCAGAATACAGATATAAGTACTATGAAGAGGGGCCATCAAGTCAAACCCAACTCGTGGTAACCCCACGGGACAGATTAAACCTGCCCATAGGGTCTTCTAGGCTGGAATCTTTAAGGGAGCAGATCACCAAGTCTTTCTCCTACAGAGCATTTGAGTGGATTTGCACCCACAACCTTTCAGTTAGCTGCTGAGTGCTTAACCATTGTGCCACACCTGTTACTGAAGTTCAGAGAAGTTATGTGACAGGCCCTTGAATTGAACGGCGTAGAGTTTTCAACAAGCTGACAGAAAATGTTAATGATTCAGACCTCTCCCTCAAAAGAAACATTGCAAAGTCAGATTTGTTTTACATGTGTTTACTACTTCAGATTCCATATTCATCTTCCTCCCCAGGCACACTCACTTCCTGGATGGTCATTTTCTTCCTTCCGGTCAACAGTGCCTTGAATCCAATCCTCTACATGCTCACCACCAGCCTCTTTAAGGACAAGCTGAAACAACTGCTGAACAAGCCCTACAGGATGTCAGTCTCCAAAACAAAAACAAAAAAGTCTATCAATGCCCATTGTGTGGACAGATCACTCCGCATCACTTAAACCTGGGATGTTGAACAAGATGACCCTCGAGGTTAGTACAAGGAGACAGATTCCCTAGGAATGGGTTGGATTGTGGGTTCTCTTTCAACAGACAAACTACAACAAGAAACTAGGACAAGGTATATATATCTACCAAATAATCTTCTAGTTATTGTTAAGTGCCATTGAGTTGGTTCTGACCCATAGCAAACCTGTATAAGGTTTCCGAGGAGCAGCTGAGCTTGAGCCACTAACTTTGTGGTTCAAACCGACTTTGCAGTCCAGTGCACTAACCCACAGCACCACACCAAGACTCCCACTAAATAACAGACAACTTTATTAAACAAAAAGACCAAAACGTGAAGCTATTGTTTCTCAGCATCTCCTCCATCTAGGTCTACATACTTCTGAACATTCCCATCTCTCTAACCCTTTCCTGAAGCATTCTGGGCTCTTTGATTTACGCCATGGCAAAACAGCAGTTAGGGCATTCTTGTGGGACTCAAATTGTGTTCCTTTTCAATGTTCTTTGAGTTTGGGGGGCAATAAGAAGACTCAAAGGGCAAGATCAGGACTGTACGGTGGATGGGGTAAGGTTCCCAAAGCAATTCTCCTAAGACAACACTTGCCATTCTCTGAGAATGAGCAGGTATGCTGACATGATGAAAAAATAGTTCCTCTTCAGCACAAATTTCCTGGACTTTTTCTCAGCAGTGCAGTTTTCTGTTTTCTGAAAATATATTCATAGTAATCCTCCATGACTGCACTCTGGCCTCTGAGAAAAATCTATCAAAATGACCCCTTTAAAATCCAAAAAAAACCAGTCTCTATAACCTTCTGACCCAAGCCACAGTATTTTCAATAACTTCATATGCATGCGAAAGCTGGACAGTGAATAAGGAAGACGGTAGAAGAACTGATGCCTTTGAGTTATGGTGTTGGAGGAGAATATTGAAAGTGCCATGGGCTGCCAAAAGAACCAATAGATCCATTTTGGAAGAGGTGCAGTCAGAGAGCTCCTTGGAGGCCAGGATGGCCAAACTTCGTCTCTCATACTTTGTACATATTGTCAGGAGGGACCAGTCACTGGAAAAGGATATCATGTTTGGTAAGGTGGAAGGTCAGAGAAAGAGGAAGACCCCCAACGAGATGGATTGGCCAAGCGGCAGCAGCGATGGACACAGGCGTAACAACAGCTGTGAGGTTGGCGCAGGACTGGCCAGTGTTTCCCTCTGTTGTGCATAGGGTCACTATGAGTTGGTGCCAACTTGATAGCACTTAACAATCATGATAACACAATATTCTGAGTTCACTTCTCTGCCTTGAATTGAACTGGCCCAGATGATTCCCCTCAGAAACCACAGTTTCAGTTGGACTTCTTCTTTCATGGTGCCCAAACGAGGCTAAGACAAGTGTGTTCCTGAGAGAACTTGCCCGCAGCTGTTCAACAATCGTTTGAACACATTTTGCTGGGAATAATCCCGTGTGTGTATGAACTGGAACCTGAGTAGCAACATTGTTTTCACTTACCCTCCTCCACCTTCTGACTCATAATGAACTGGGTCACTGAGTTGGAACCGACTCGATGGCACCTAACAACAACAATTCGTACGCTTTTCTGTAGATGGTATGTGCAGAGCCTTTACTTTCCCCAACCACAAGTCTTTCTGCGTGGAGAGAATGACACGATGCTACAGCCAATGCAGGCTGTATTTATTGTCAGCTGTGTTCAGGATGCTGCCTGGGTGTGCTGCTCCTCACCTGTCCAGACCTGATGTACAGTCGATGCCCACTGACTGATAAGCAGTTGATCTGTAACTGGTCAGCTCTAACAACCTTCCAGAGAATGCCCACATCGGGCACCATTACACAGGGTCAACAACTGGCCATCAGATCAAACCATTCACATCACCTAACTCCAGTGTGGCCATAAGACCATAAGCCTCCTGTCTCTTGCCTTGATTTCTCAGTATCAGGCCAAACCATCATCATCCTGCTGAAAAGATGCAAAGGATTTCTGAGATGTTCCCTGACCTGGAGTCCCACTTTACGGAGGCTGATGGATTAGCAGCTGTGAACACAGGACATCACGTTAGTGCCCAATGTCTCATGTCAGACTTAACAGCCCTAGCTAGTGGTGCAGTGGTTAAGCACTCATTCATTCAGTCAACAGTCTTTGCATACCTGCTTGGAGACAAACACTGTTTGTCCAACAAGATCACCCTTGGTGGAGGTGGTTATGTGCCGTGGAGTCGGTTCTGACTCATAGTGACCCTGTACAAGGTTTTTGAGGCTATAAATCTTTACGGGAGCAAAAAGCCTCAACTTTCTCCCACAGAACAGCTGGTAGTTTTGAACTGCTGACCTTGTGGTTCACAGCCCAATTCGTAACCACTATGCTACCAGAGACCACCCTTGTTGTTATTGTTGTTAGGTGCCATCGAGTTGGTACCGACCCATAGCGACCTTATGCATGGCAGAACGAAACACTGCCCAATCCTGGGCCAACCTCACTGTTGTTGCCACACTTGAGTCCATCGATGCTGCCACTTGGCCAATCCATGTCACTGGGGGTCTTCCTCTTTTTCTCTGACCCTCCACCTTACCAAACATGATATCCTTCTCCAGTGAATGCTCTCTCCTGACAATATGTCCTACTTTGGAAAGGCGAAGTTTGGCCATCCTGGCCTCCAAGGAGCACTCTGGCTGCACTTCTTCCAGCACAGATCTGTTGGTTCTATGGGCAGCCCATGGCACTTTCAATATTCTCCTCCAACACCATAACTCACAAGCACCAAATCTTCTACATTCTTCCTTATTTTTTTGCATGCATATGAGGTTATTGAAAATACCGTGGCTTGGGTCAGGTGCACCTTAGTCCTCAAGCTGACATCATTGCTCTTCAACACTTTAAAAAGGTCTTGTGCTGCAGATTTGCCTAATGCGATACGTCAATTGATTTCTTAACTGTTGCTTCCATAAGTGTTGATAGTTGAGCCAAGAAAAATGAAGTCCTTGACAACTTCAATCTTTTCTCCTTTGATAAGAATGTTGTTTATTGGGCCAGTGGTGAGGATTTACAGGGAAATTCACATGCAGGTGAAAGGGCCATTAAAGACAATGATGGGACTTCCTTAGAGTCCTCTTAGGTCATGCCTCTGCTTCCTGTCTGATTTTTGTGATTAAGCAGACTTCTGGTGTGGCGCTGTGGGTTAATGCTCCAGACTGCACAGCCATTTGAACTACAAGGTCGGTGGTTCAAGTTCACCAGCGGCTCCTTGGAAACCCTATGCATGGTCACTATGGGTCGGAACCGATTCGAAGGCACTTAACAACAACAACAACAATTCCTCACTGAGGCTTCTCTGTATAATCTTTCCTCCACCTTTTCCAAAGCTTTGCTGGCATTTCATGCCTTTTTCTCTCCCTCTCTCACAACACACATGCGCGCACACGTATTTGTTGTTGTTGTTGAGTGCCATTGAGTTGATTCCAGTTCACAGCAACCCTAGAGGACAGCGTACATCTGCTACTTAGGGTTTTAAAGAATGTGAATCCTAACAGGAACAGACTGCCACATCTTTCTCCCGTGGAGCGGCTGGTGGGGTCGAACCCCCACCTTGTGGTTAATAGCAGAGCACTTAACCACTGCACCATCAGGGCTCCTGAGATGAAGAAGAGAGGAGGATGAATGTAGTGGGAAGCTAAATAAGAAGAAAGCACGAGTGGGCGGCGGGGGGGAGGCAGACACAGAAACAGATATAAAGGCCACGTCAGAAGAACAACACAAAGGGTTGTTGTTGTTGTTAAGTGCCATCGAGTCGGTTCTGACCCGTAGCGAGCCTGTACAGGGTTTCCGGAGGAGCAGCTGGTGAGCTTGAAACAGCAACCTTGTGATTCAAACAGGCTTTGCAATCCAGTGCATGAACCCACGGCACCACACCAGGACCCCACACAAGGCGTGGTGAGGTAAGAAAAGGTCTAGAATTGTCTCAGTTATGTTGGAAATGTTTCGAGGCGTCTCCCTTAGTAATAAAGTTAGTTTCATCAAGCTCCATTGCTTTCTCATTTTAAAGCCTTCTAACCCCTGCTCATCACACATGCACTAAATCAGTCACTTTATTTTGGTTTCAGGAATGGTTCTGAGGGATTTCACAATGCTGATGTTTACTGCAGACGATATAGTTTTCTGAAAGAGGTCATCCTCAGAAACTGCAGATGTGAGGGTGAGAAATTGGGGATGTGTGACCAGGCAGAGAAGATAGGTCTGTCTGGTCCTCATCCTCAGACGATGGTGCCTCTAACTCCAGTGGTATTTCTCATGTCCAGCAAGCTCATTGATTTTGATGGATACGTTTTAAGGCAGAAACCAAACCCAACCCATTGCTCCAGTAGACTCTGACTCCTGCCGATGTTAGAGGTCAAAATAGGACAGTCCTGGAGGCCACCCAAGGTGGCCGTGTTTAGGGGAGCAGATGGACACATCTTTCTCCCTCAGAGCGGCTGTTGGGTTAGATGCACCACTGCGCCACCAAGGTACCCTACAGGCCAGCACACACCCCTTTATGTGTTCCCCACTCTGCTTCTTTGTCTCATGGTCAATGTCCTATCTCTTTCAATCGATATCTCCCCCTGTCTAGACAGTGATTGGGGTGGTGTTAGGAGATCGAGGGCCAAATGGGCACGTGCATTGATCGTATCAGGAAGCCCTCTGGTAGATTACTTGCCTTCTATGCTCTAAGTGCTGGAAATGGACAGCAGACAGTAGCAGGCTGACAAGCTAGCGCCATATAACATCAGAACCCTAATAGAGACACATTGCAATTAAGCAGCAGAGAGATGGCCACAGGCTTCCTCAAAGCCTTTCATCTACAAGGCCATGCATTAATCCTTTATGAATGCAGGAATTTAAAGATCCAGCACACCAAGACACCTTACTAAGCTGGAATGGATTGACTTGGCAATTCACCTACTTGGAAGATAACTGAATCAACCAAAAGAATAAATCCCTAAAGTTTTAAAGGTCTCTAAGGAACCAGACAGGAGTCCTGATGTGGAACTACAGAATAAACACTGGAGTGCTAACCAAAAGGTTGTTCGTTCAAACACACCAGATGTTCCTTAGAAACTTTCTACAGGGTTACTGTGTGTCAGAACTGACTCAATGGCACTTAACAACAAAGAAGGAAAAAACAAACAAACATATTCCTGGTGCTGCAGTGGATTAAGCATTGGATGGCTAAAAGTTGGCAATGAAAACCCACCATGGGAACCATGGAAGACAGATGAAGCTGTCTGCTCCTGTAGAGATGGAGAGCATAGGAAACCATTCTTCTCTGTCCTGTAGGGGCGCCATGAGTCAGAATAATAAAAATAAAAATGAACTGCTGCTCCAAGATTTATGAATTAAAAGTCAAAAACAGAGTTGTTGCTATTAGGTGTCACTGAAGTGATTCAAATGCATAGTGACCGCGGGACAGAGGAGAACTGCCCCACAGGCTTTCCCAGGCTGTCATCTATTGTGTCACTATATACTCGTATTTGTTGTTGTTGTTGTTGTCAGGTGCCATCGAGTCAGAACCGACTCATAGCGACCCCATGCACAGCAGAACGAAACAGTGTACGATCCTGGGCCAACCTCACTACCGCTGCCACACTTGACGCCATCAATGATGCCACCTGGCTGATCCATCTCGTTGGGGGTCTTCCTCGTATATACTCTTATATATCATCCACCCACAGCGCCCCTTGGTGTAACGGAGGAGAACTAACCCACAGGGTTTCCTAGGCTGTCATCTATTGTGTCACTATATACTCGCTGTGGTTGTAGTTGTTGTTGTTAGGTGCCATCGAGTCAGTACCGACCAACAGTGACCTTATGCAAAATAGAAAGAAACACTGCCCGATCCTGGGCCAACCTCACTACTGTTGCCACGCTTGAGTACATCGATGCTGCCACCTGGCCAATCCATCTCATTGGGGGTCTTCCTCTTTTTCTCTGACTCTTAAGACCTCACCAGCTGGAATACATAGAAATCAGATTGACTACATCTGTGGAAAGATGATGGAAAAGCTCCATATCATCAATGAAAACAGGACCCAGGGGCAGATTGTGGAACAGA